CCCCCCCCCCCCCCAGTTGACCTCGATTCTCGATAAGTTGGCCTATGTTTCTTAAATGTTTTTTCGCACAGACCCCCGCAGGGCAAAAAAAATACCTTTTTGCTCTACTGGAGTGGTCCGACACCAGCAAAAGTCAAGAATGCCAACGTACATCAGTAAAGTTAGGGGGCACACACAAAAGTGCCTAGACGCAAGGAAGCTTACCTAACCCACTTCGTTGGCTTTCATTTAGTACGCTCACTACTCTCTATGCACGTCCAGTGGGCACGGGCAGCCTCGCTGTCAGCGTGGTCGTACGAGCATCACCCGTTGCACGTCAACACCCCTGACTCACTGCCGTTCGTACAATGCTCTGTGCACGTGCAGCCGTTTAATCTCTCAAATCGTATTTAGGGTTCATGCAGTGCTAGACGTTCTTCAGCTTGACGCTTCCCCACGTCTCCGGTATTCTCGCCCTTGCCAACGCTACCCTCGTTACACTTGGCTATCAGAAACGTCGCCACCACCTCGTCCCGAACAGCCCGCTCTACTTTCGCAGCCTGATCAACTCCGACACAGCCCCATCCAAACGCTTGTACCCTGTCAAGCGAGGCATTCACCACCCGTTCTTTCGCCAGGCTGTCCTGCGCCTCCTCGTGCAACATACGAACCCACGTCGTCAAGTTCTGATAAGCGCTGGTCAAGGCCTGTTCCAACTTAGCCTCCATCACGCGTCGCCAACAATTGTTGTTGTTGTATGTATGACTTAGGGTCGTGTGTGCGATCCTTTCTGTTGGTCGTCCGTGTCTACACCCCCCATTTCCCCCGAACATAGTCCTTGCGTATGCTTGGCTGCTCGGTATGCAGTCCTTTCCCTTTGCTCCCAGCTTTCCGCATCCTTCCTATGCACAACGGAATGGACAGGAAACGGGAGGTGAACGGACACATTTAGCACGAAGCAGAGCAATGACGTTGGGCGAAATCGACCCCCTGAAGAAGGGACCTCAATACGGGGAATATTTGTAACAAAAAGACACAGCATCACAGAGGGACTAAGAAACATTCTAATTCTACAATGCACATGGGAGTGCCAATGAAAAGGACACGAGCAGGAAGGGCGAAACGCGTCAAGAAAACACACACTACTCGCGATGTGTTCAAACGTCATGGGCTACTGATCGACCAACTTCCACCAGGACCAATCGGTTGGGATCTCTGCGACAACGATAGTAATGAAGGTAATTCTTTTAGGAGTGACGGAGACACAGGAAAGGGAAAGGGAAGAAAGGAGGACGAAGACGACGATGGAGGAGGAAAACATGGAGGAGTGGAAGAGAGCAAAGGGTTTGAGCCAGATGACCTTCCCCACAACAAGAAACGTAGGGCTAGGGAAGAACTGCCCAGAGATTCTTCTTGTCGAAATGAGGATCAGAATGATGGTAGCGAAAACAAGGAGNTCCCAAACGAACTAGAGTACAAGATACTAGCCTTGGTGGACGCGTGCAGTTTTCTTCTGTTGTCACCGTTTCTGTCTTTGATCCGAAAGNATGGAGGAGTGGAAGAGAGCAAAGGGTTTGACCCAGATGACCTTCCCCAAAACAACAAACGTGGGGCTAGGGAATAACTGCCCAGAGATTCTTCTTGTCNCATCAGCAGGTCGAAGCATCGACAAGTCGATCCTTAAGCCAGGATCAGCCCTCGAAGATCGAGCTGCAAGTAAGGCAAATCACTATGCGGGAACTTTCAACCCGTCTAGATCTACCCTCCTTACTGCTGCTTTTTCAACGAATGGTGGTCTTGGCAAAGGCACCAATCGACTCATCGTAGCTATCGCCAACCACTTGGCGCACGGAGCTATTTGCCGAGGAATTTTTGACGACGAAAGAGCCTTAGTTCGCCTGAAAGCCTTTCACACTAATAGGATTCGGAGACGGTTTACCGTCGAGCTAGCTCGTTTTCTGTCGATGCGAACTCGCGATGTGTTCAAACGTCATGGGCTACTGATCGACCAACTTCCACCAGGGCCAATCGGTTGGGATCTCTGCGACAACGATAGTAATGAGGGTAATTCTTTTGGGAGTGACGGAGACGAAGGAAAGGGAAAGGGAAGAAAGGAGGACGAAGACGACGATGGAGGAGTGGAAGAGAGCAAAGGGTTTGACCCAGATGACCTTCTCCAAAACAACAAACGTAGGACTAGGGAAGAACTGCCCAGAGATTCTNAAGACGACGATGGAGGAGTGGAAGAGAGCAAAGGGTTTGACCCAGATGACCTTCTCCAAAACAACAAACGTAGGACTAGGGAAGACTGCCCAGAGATTCTTGTCAAAATGAGGATCAGAATGATGGTAGGGAAAACAAGGAGGATAACGAACGGTGAAAGTACTCCCAAACGAACTAGAATTCAAGATACTAGCCTTGGTGGACGCGTGCAGTTTTCTTCTGTTGTCACCGTTCCTGTCTTTGATCCGAAGGATAGTTAAGCCTTCCCCATGCTGCCCCCTCACGGGGTCCCAATTCATGGCAGATAGAAGTGTTTTGTGTTTTCAACCGCACTGAGACTGGCGTCTTTTCATTGGTCAGTCGGTTAGCGCGGTCGATGCAAGTAATAAAGACACACACAGCGGCCTCGTCACGACCCTCACGGTCGGGCAGGCTAACAACACATTGGTAGCACCATCTATCACACAGCATACATCTGGCAGACAGTGCCTTCGACCCTTCGACGGCGGTGGTATCTCCTCCTCTCACGGAATCACAAGTGTTTGTTTGGACAATGGGTGGGTACAAACAACCTGGATTTTGCTACTACACAGTATTACTGCGGCGGCTGCGGATACTGGATTTCCGGGCGTGTTCACCTGAAGGAAAGCCAAGAGAACCTGCGAGCAGGACTTGGCTCCCTCGTNAAGATACTAGCCTTGGTGGACGCGTGCAGTTTTCTTCTGTTGTCACCGTTCCTGTCTTTGATCCGAAGGATAGTTAAGCCTTCCCCATGCTGCCCCCTCACGGGGTCCCAATTCATGGCAGATAGAAGTGTTTTGTGTTTTCAACCGCACTGAGACTGGCGTCTTTTCATTGGTCAGTCGGTTAGCGCGGTCGATGCAAGTAATAAAGACACACACAGCGGCCTCGTCACGACCCTCACGGTCGGGCAGGCTAACAACACATTGGTAGCACCATCTATCACACAGCATACATCTGGCAGACAGTGCCTTCGACCCTTCGACGGCGGTGGTATCTCCTCCTCTCACGGAATCACAAGTGTTTGTTTGGACAATGGGTGGGTACAAACAACCTGGATTTTGCTACTACACAGTATTACTGCGGCGGCTGCGGATACTGGATTTCCGGGCGTGTTCACCTGAAGGAAAGCCAAGAGAACCTGCGAGCAGGACTTGGCTCCCAAGTGACTTCCTAGTGGCTTCCTAGGTTCGGACGAGGGATGTGTGGAGCTATGGCAGTGTATGTGTTGCTATTTTGTTTGAGTATCTAGCTGCGGACACGATGACTATTGGATCTTGGGAGTGTCCGATTGTCAAATTAGGAGATGCAGCATACAGTGCCGGCCCACTTGTAAGAAACACCTATTTCAGCTGAGGCTCAAATGTTATTGCCGCAGCAATAGTGAGCTGAACTCTTATGTTGGCATTTTCTATTTTTCCCCGACGAGAACTGCATGATTTCTTATTTCGCCATTTCCTATATTTTCGCCACCGTGCAGATTGCACGATCTCTTATAATCCCTATTTCCTTGTCCAGCCACGAAGCTTTGCACTACCCGCGGGGTGCATGCTTGCACGACACCCGGCGGTACTGAACTGAAAAAAAAGAAGAAGCGCAAAGTCATTGTGCTAATGTGCGTGCGGACAAAATACTCCGCATATCCCTAACGCCCTTCGAAATCGATTGGTGAAGTTGTCACAACTCGGCATGCTCTATCCCGGTTGGTCAATGTTGCGAACGTTGGGGGTTCGCGCCCTACTGCCCTGCCGGCGTGGCTGTTCACCCTCACACCCCCCCGCCGGCTCATTCGAATCGTCGATCGGCTCGATCAACGCCCACGCTCCTACGGCTGCGTTCGCCTCGTCTACATCGTATGCATCTAGAGGCATCTTCACACTGATGGTGCTTTGATCGTACGCTAAAACCACGCGGTAGTCGTACGTGTGGCTAGTTTGGGGGGGCGCTGCCCGGCTGATCTGCCCCAAGAACCACCCCATACCCCGCCTCAAGAACACGCAACGCTTAACCAATGCGCGATCCAGTTTTTCTGGAGGAGACTCTTGAAGACGGAATCCGACCGGAAGCTCCATCGCGATGATGTCACGGTCGGAGTCGACGTCATCGTCGCTGTCTTGCTGTGACCGGGGGTCTTGAACATCGCCGTGGTTATCACCTAGCAAATGAAGCGATGTGTTAAAAATTGTCGAGAAAGAGTCGGCGTGAGACACGCGCGTTTGAACCAATTTGCAGCCCCCCACCAGTGCATGCAAAACTACGGGCAAAGGCGAAATACAAGCCGGACCTAGACTCGAAAACTTACCATCATCATCTGCGCTTGTATCGCTGTCGCAGCTTGATTCGCCACCGCTTCCCCCCCCATCGTCGTCGCCTACCTCATCATCCTGGTCGGGCATCTCCTCGCACTGCTCCTGCCCCCGTCCATGAAGTTGTACGCCCCAACTACACCCTCCAGAGTGATGCGGTCGTCCAATAACCCGTCTGCCGTCATCGCCAGTCCGGTCTTGTCGAACAGGCCCAGGCCGAACGTACATTCGCGCGACCGCCCTTGCAATGAATCGCGTGAAAAGGATTCGCCTTGCACCAGCTGAAAGCTTGTTGGTCTCGCACAGGCAAAGGTTTTCCTCGTGCCCAAGAAATTCATCCAGCTCGTTACCGATTTCGCCTTTGAGGAGGCGTCCATAGCCGGCATCGACCGGTTGGAGTTCGTCGGTCAATTTGGGGGGAAGTAGCCGCAGCAGCATGTTGCACTCGCCGTGAAGAAATTTCTTGAACTCGACCGTTGTCTGCGCGTGCAGGTTGTCCGCGGAAAGGATGGACTGCTCCTTTGGAACGACACCTTCCTCCCCCTTTTTTGCCCACGCCATGCACGTTGGGCCGTCCATCCACGCGTTCTCCTGGAACAGCACGTGCACGTCGGGGTCATACGCCGCCTTCTCCACCGCCGAGATTTTGCCTCTGTCGCGGAAAATGACTGCGGTCCGCATCAACTTGTCACCAGCTCCGATGCAACAATTGACGGTGCACTGTCGCTTCTCAAGATCAGGGAACGGCTGCCCAATTTGCACTCGCAAAGCTCCCGTCTCGTCCCATGTCGAGTCGAGGCCGTTGACGAATGCGAGCCCAAACTGATCGACGTTGAAACGCGCATTCAGGCTGAAGCGCCCGTAAAGGGGCGATTCCACAGGAACGATCGCAGCGCCGTTGTTCTCGGCGGCGCCCCCAGCAGCGGCCCGGCAAACGGGTGGTTCCTGCAGCAGCTGGCGCAGCCTCCTGTGGAAGCTCTTCATCTGCGGAAGACGGCCCTCCACCGAATTGTGCTTCATGTTTGTGCGCCTTCGTTTCGAAAGATGGTGGCGCTTCGCAAACTTCCTGCACCACCGGTCCGACGTTGAAAAGTTTTTTGCACGCGGGTCGTCCGGATACATTTCCACCACGAGCTTTCTCGCGTTGACTCGAATCCAGGCTGTCGACACTCTGAGCTTCCTTTTGCGCCGTTGCAACAGCAGCAAGTGCAGCTTCTTCTCTGCGTCTCCGAATCACCTCCTCTCCCTGCCAGTCTTGAAAAGGTCTTTTTTCAAGTCGTTGGCCGCGGCTGCGATCAGCTTCTCTGCGTCGCTGTTCCACTTGCAGATGTTGGGTTGGGGAATGCCGGTCTTCCTTGCCAGGAACTGCTGGCACGACACGCCGTGAACATGCCAGATCTTTTCGGCGTGATCGGCCTCCAGCTCTCGCAGCTCCGCGACCACCGCAACCCTTCTTCCTGCTGCTGCACTGCGTCCTCTTCTCAGCCCCTCGTGTTTTCTTCCGCTTGGTGCGTTCTTCGTCCGACAAAAGGCCGTCATCTGGCAAGTCTGATGTACTATCGCCTTGGGTCCTTGGCTGCAGCTCGAACGAACAGCTCCCTCGTACGTGGTACATTTTCTGGCCCGCCGCAGTGGTGTGCCCGCCTCCCTCTTGAGTGGTGAAAGACGGCAATAAAACACCTGCCCGAATATCCGTGCCAAGGTGGAGTCGTCATGTCCCACCCGTCGCGAGGGCGGGCCTGAGCCCGAGTCCAAGATGCCGAAGAGGAGCTAGGTGCACGGCACTACAGTGTAGCGATCGATCTTGTTCGGAGGCAAAGGTCTTCGGGCATTACAGGCACTTCAGTTTGGGAGGAGGTGGTGCGATGGGATAGTGGACGGGGGTGACTTCCTCCACGATGCCATTGCGGGTACGCTTGATCTGCGAGAAAGTAGCAGAAAAAGCGAGGCCCGGGGTACGGGGATTGTAGAGTGCAGCAAAAAATGTTTGTCAACTGTCCCTCCAAGAAACTTATAACAGATATTTTCAACGGCAGCGGCACGTGATTGGCACGCTTCGACAACAGCAGCAAGTGTCGCTGAAAAGACAAGTAAAAAAAACAAGACGAGAACAAAACAACGGGCAGTGCCAGGATTCAAAACCGCGCCCTCGAACTCGATGGTGAACCAGAAGAATCCCCCGCAAAACATTTCGTGTTTTGGTTTCTCTGCCGGCCAGATTGGCACACTTCGACACCTGCTGCAAGTGTTGCAAAAAAAAAGTTGACAACAAATACGAGATGAGAGAAAAAAAAAGGGGGCACCGCCAGGATTCGAAACAGCGTTGCAAACTCGATGGTGAACCGAAAGAATCCTCCGTAGAATATTCTCGTGCTTCATATTCTCTCTCCCTTCTTCCCCTCGCTCCTCGACAAGCTTTTGCTTAGACATGGGTTGTAGTCAAGGGGGGGGTATTTCTGGCGAGCAGGGCTAGACTCACCCTCAAGGGATGACCGAAACCTTCTTGCTGCTGCGCATCCGCCGCGAGGCGTGCGTGTGGTGGTGGAGTTGGGTCGGAACTGATGGGGTCAGGCGGGAAAATGTAGATGCGCGGGCCTTTCTGGCCGTCGGCGTAGGCAGTGATGCCCATCCCATTTTTGTGGGCGGAGGCAGCCACCATTAGGAAGGTGGACGGGCACTACACGGCCCTAGGTTTGCTATGAGTCATCTAGCTGCGGACACGATGACTGTTGGATCTTTGAAGTGCACGATTATCAAATTGGGAAATAGATGTACCATACCAAGATATCCTGGCTTCGGCTGGGCTTAACCCTTTTGCTGTCCTCCGCTCTCTGCATCAGTGACTTCCTAGTTTCGGACAAGGGCATGTGTGGAGCTATGGCAGTGTCTGTGTTGGTATTTTGTTTGAGTCATCTACCTGCGGACACGATGACTGTTGGATCTTTGGAGTGCACGATTATCAAATTGGAAAACAGATGTACCATACCAAGATATCCTTGCTTCGGCTGGGCTTAACCCTTTTGCTGTCCTCCGCTCTTTGCATCATTGGCTTGCTAGGTTCGGACGAGGGCATGTGTGGAGCTATGGCCGTGTATGTGTTGCNTTTTCAACGGCAGCGGCACGTGATTGGCACGCTTCGACAACAGCAGCAAGTGTCGCTGAAAAGACAAGTAAAAAAAACAAGACGAGAACAAAACAACGGGCAGTGCCAGGATTCAAAACCGCGCCCTCGAACTCGATGGTGAACCAGAAGAATCCCCCGCAAAACATTTCGTGTTTTGGTTTCTCTGCCGGCCAGATTGGCACACTTCGACACCTGCTGCAAGTGTTGCAAAAAAAAAGTTGACAACAAATACGAGATGAGAGAAAAAAAAAGGGGGCACCGCCAGGATTCGAAACAGCGTTGCAAACTCGATGGTGAACCGAAAGAATCCTCCGTAGAATATTCTCGTGCTTCATATTCTCTCTCCCTTCTTCCCCTCGCTCCTCGACAAGCTTTTGCTTAGACATGGGTTGTAGTCAAGGGGGGGGTATTTCTGGCGAGCAGGGCTAGACTCACCCTCAAGGGATGACCGAAACCTTCTTGCTGCTGCGCATCCGCCGCGAGGCGTGCGTGTGGTGGTGGAGTTGGGTCGGAACTGATGGGGTCAGGCGGGAAAATGTAGATGCGCGGGCCTTTCTGGCCGTCGGCGTAGGCAGTGATGCCCATCCCATTTTTGTGGGCGGAGGCAGCCACCATTAGGAAGGTGGACGGGCACTACACGGCCCTAGGTTTGCTATGAGTCATCTAGCTGCGGACACGATGACTGTTGGATCTTTGAAGTGCACGATTATCAAATTGGGAGATGCAGCATACATTCCAAGATATGCTGGCTTCGGCTGGGCTTAACCCTTTTGCTGTCCTCCGCTCTCTGCATCAGTGACTTCCTAGATTCGGACGAGGGCATGTGTGGAGCTATTGCAGTGTATGTGTTTCAAATTTGTTGGAGTCATCTAGNGTGTGGAGCAATGGCAGTGTATGTGTTACTATTTTGTTTGAGTCATCTATCTGCTGACACGATGACTGTTGGATATTTGGACTGCACGATTATCAAATTGGGAGATGCAGCATACATTCCAAGATATGCTGGCTTCGGCTGGGCTTAACCCTTTTGCTGTCCTCCGCTCTCTGCATCAGTGACTTCCTAGATTCGGACGAGGGCATGTGTGGAGCTATTGCAGTGTATGTGTTTCAAATTTGTTGGAGTCATCTATAGCTGCGGACACGATGACTGTTGGATCTTTGAAGTGCACGATTATCAAATTGGGAAATAGATGTACCATACCAAGATATCCTGGCTTCGGCTGGGCTTAACCCTTTTGCTGTCCTCCGCACTTTACATCATTGGCTTCCTAGATTCGGGCGAGGGCATGTGTGGAGCAATGGCAGTGTATGTGTTACTATTTTGTTTGAGTCATCTACCTGCTGACACGATGACTGTTGAATGTNCCAAGATATCCTGGCTTCGGCTGGGCTTAACCCTTTTGCTGTCCTCCGCTCTTCGCATCATTGGCTTCCTAGATTCGGGCGAGGGCATGTGTGGAGCAATGGCAGTGTATGTGTTACTATTTTGTTTGAGTCATCTACCTGCGGACACGATGACTGTTGGATCTTTGGAGTGTACGATGATCAAATTGGAAAACAGATGTACCATACCAAGATATCCTGGCTTCGGCTGGGCTTAACCCTTTTGCTGTCCTCCGCTCTTTGCATCAGTGACTTCCTAGATTCGGACGAGGGCATGTGTGGAGCTATGGCAGTGTCTGTGTTGCTATTTTGATTGAGTCATCTACCTGGGGACACGATGACTGTTGGATCTTTGGAGTGTACGATGATCAAATTGGAAAACAGATGTACCATACCAAGATATCCTTGCTTCGGCTGGGCTTAACCCTTTTGCTGTCCTCCGCTCGTTGCATCAGTGACTTCCTAGGTTCCGGCGAGGGCATGTGTGGAGCTATGGCAGTGTATGTGTTACTATTTTGTTTGAGTCATCTACCTGCGGACACGATGACTGTTGGATCTTTGGAGTGTACGATGATCAAATTGGAAAACAGATGTACCATACCAAGATATCCTTGCTTCGGCTGGGCTTAACCCTTTTGCTGTCCTCCGCTCGTTGCATCAGTGACNGTTGCTGTGTCGTCCGAAAAACGGCGGTCCGCCATGATGGCTTGCAGTTCTTGCTTCGCTTCCGCCGCTTTGTTTTTTCCTGTNGTGTGGAGCTATGGCAGTGTATGTGTTACTATTTTGTTTGAGTCATCTACCTGCTACACGATGACTGTTGGATCGGGGAGTCTACGATTATCAAATTGGGAGATGCAGCGTAGTCTACATACTGAGATATGCTGGCTTAGGCTGGGCTTGAACTCACCCTTTTACTGTCCTCTGTTCGTGTGTCTGGATACGAGCATGGTAGATCTGCTAGCAGCACGGGGGGGGTACATAGACAGGAGCATGCGTATGCCTGAAAAGGGCTACTATGTGTGGGCCCCCTTCCTCGAATTCGGGAGGGTCACTTCTTCCCTTCCTTTCCTCGCTCCCGCGAGTGCCTAATCAGAGAGAGTTCAAGCGTGTCTTCTCCTCCCAAGTACGGACATACCAACACACTAGTGTTTATTCCCTCGAGGGAGTCCATTAGGGATGTCGGGCCGCAGAACCGTAGGGACCACTCCGGACGGCTCGCAGGCAGGAGACACAAACAGCAGCGAGCAGATCGACAGCATGCGGTCTGAGATCAGTTCGCTGATACAGCAAATGGGCCAGCTGGTGCAGCTGGTCGGAGGACTTGCTGCACGTATAGAGGAGAAGTCCGGCG